ATTCATCTTAAATCTAACTGCGGATGAAACCAAATATGTAATGGCTGAAATCTTAACGCATAAGGTTTGACGAGCTCAGACAAGCTTGTCCAGCCTCAGCCATCATTTTTATTTGTGTAATGTGCAATAAATAATTTCGTAAAATATATGAAATACTGCGCTATAAATTATCACTTGATATACATGATTCATTTATTTTTCTGCACAGTTTGACGAGCTCGGGGAAGCTTGTCCAGACTCTACTATCAAAAAAAATAATCTAGTCATAAATGCACAGTTATTTCGGGAGATAAATTTAACTTGAGTTTATATGCATATCCATCGGGAAAATATAGGTTTCGGGAGATAAATTTAACAGGATGCTGATCCAGCTTCTGCTCAATTTTGACGAGCTCGGACAAGCTTGTCCAGACTCTACCATCAGAAAAATAATATATTTTTTTTGCACGTGCATTTTATTCTTAATCATTTCCCTGAATTCCTGTTATGCTTATCCAACTAAAGAAAAAAATCTAAAATTTGTTTGGCCGATCATCTCGTGATTTTTATTTTTTTATCATTATCTCATTTAAAATTTATCCGTATCACCCTCTTCTCAAAAATAAATTTTTTCAGAGTAGAGATATGTGAAACCTTATCTAAAAAATATTCTGATTACGTACTTTTTCTATTTTCGAATTTATAAGAAAATAGAGGCTTATCGTTATGCATAACTAATTTGTGAGACGGGGCACAAGTAGAAATTGCTATTTATCAGAATTAGTCCCTAACCAAAGTCGGTCAATTAACTCATACCACATATATTATGAATTTATTTTGTGGGAAGCCACTGGGGAGCCCAACTCCGGACCGAAACCTTATCTGGCCTAAATGCGCACAATGTATGCATGTACTATGGAGTATTAAGTCTTCAATTTTAACCTTACATGGCTCTGTTATCGATGTAAGAGCACATGTTTTTGCTTCTATCTAACCTTCTACATGAGTTTCAGAAAAGAGATGAAGGAAAACGTATAAAAGGATAGTATCTCGAAGTTATAGTTATTTGTTGCTTTATTAGTGATTTTATCTCAATTTATACCCAAAATAATTTCTCGAATCCTGATAATGGAAAATTTTTTATTAACTTTCGAACCAGTAGCAACTATTACAGTTGCAACTGCCTTGTATAAACATGTAAACTCAGGACGTTGGTCTGGGAACTGTGATCAAGAAGTCCAAAACTTTGTTCAAACATTAGAAAAAGTGAAACAACTTGTTCCAAATGGAGATTCGTTACGTCTAAAAAAACTCCGAAGTTTTGGAGAAGGTGAAGTTTTAGAACAACGGGTAAGAACATGTTAATATTTATTTAGCTTTTGTAATCATGATGATTTGTGTCCACTGATTGCATATGTGGAAGCATATTGGTAATAGGTAGTCTGGTGAAGATAGTAGTTGGATGCTGTTACTGTGTGCTATCAACATTTGTGATCAGATTAATATCTGTAATAAGGGCCTGATGATTAATAAATCTATTAATATCTGAACCCGCACAGGTATTTTAGTATCATCAGTTTTATATGATTTCGGACAACTTATTTTT